TGACCTTTGTATGCACTGACTCTAGTTGTGCCAAGCAAGCAGTTCAGTAGCAAACTAAGTGGAAATAATTATTTTAATTAGTGTAATTGGATTACACTGAAGTGTTTTTGGGGACTGCTGTTCTGCTTCAGATGTTGTTCAAACTGTCCTGGCTGTACATAATTTCTAAATCAACACATTACATAGGGGTTTAGGCAGAGAAAAGGGAATTGGGCAGAAAAAGGCCTGGTTTACTTCAGATTTGATATTTGATAACACAAGGAACGTAGGGTGGATTGCATTAGGTTTTTACTAGGACAGCATATTTTTTTGTAAGCTGTCATCATGTGCACCTTATTTTCTCAGGAAGTCATGAGGTTAAGGGTATTTTTTTAACCTTTGTTTCTTGCTTGTCATCAACAGCTGAAATACCATCACCCTCCACTGTGAACAGAAAAAAACAGGAAAAAAGCTCTGTGTTCCACAGGACCTTACCTTTTAATGGGAGCAGGTCATCACTCGGCTACCTAAAGCACTGAAGGCCCTCAGTCAATATAAATTAGAGAGAAATAGTGGAGATCAGATTGAGACATGCCCAAAATCTTGGGTACCATTGGCTATATAGTTGCATCTCAAAAGGTATTTGACTGCAGCTGATTACATCTGCTTTTAATTAGTAGAGGAAATGGCGAGCAAATCATCAGCATTATTTTCCTCCACAGCAGCTTTTTTGAGGCAGCCTTCCATAACCTTATGTACTTGAGAGCATATTTTAGCACTAACACTTGGTGTGGCTGTTTCTTCTCCTGAGAGAAACTGTGATTCTCACTAAGGAAACCCCTTGAATAAATCATTTACTGGAGTGCAGTCCATTACATTTCAACAGATCACCATTTCGTACTTGGAGCTGGTGGGCGAGATCAGACAACATCAACTGTAAGGAAATTCAAATTCCGAATTTCAGCACTGGTTTCATTACTGGGCTTCTGCCTGTGTGTTGTGCAGGCTAAGACTGAATTGGACTTTGATGTAGACTGTTCTTTCATTCCTGTAGATCCTCTAAATGAGATTAAAAGGGATGATAGAGCCAATACCTCCTGACATCAGCGAGATCATAGGAGGCCTCTTGAACACTACCTGAAAGTCAGATTATAATGACCAGAGTAAATGTTTGGTGAAGATAAGTAACTGGATGATAAAACTAAATGCCTGTGGGTTATCCAAGGAAACTGAAAGGGAAAACAGGCTGGGAGAAATTGTAAAAATAGTTTATTCACATGAACATCCAGTATTATATTAAACATGCTAAGTTTGGGATATACTAGAGCTTCTCGTTTTATTACATCCTTAACAGTCAAGTGAACATGGTTTTAGAAGAGTGGAATGTTTTAAGCAAACATTGCTGACCTAGATTTTCAAAATGGGTGAGCTTGAGGACACTGTCTTCATTTTATGCCTCATTAACTTAGCCTGTTCTTCAGAGTTTCCATGGAAACTACCTTTTTGGTGACAGATAGAAACTTTTGATGGGTCAAGTAAGTAAAAGGTAACAAGAGGTATTAGGGCAGAGAATGTGTTACAGAGCCCTAATGGAAGAAGGCAGTGAATGAACTTTGAACATAAACAAAGGGATGATAGTAGAAGACCATAAATGTCAGTGCATTGACAGTGAGGATGATTCAAAGTTACTATGGGATGTGAAAGTACAAACTTAACAGAGCATGACCTTGTTCTGATAGTTAATGACGTTAAGCTGGGCTCAGGATAGAATAACAGAGATCAGTCCGATTTTGTCATTATGGATGAATAAGCACAGCTCCAACCCAAAATCTCAACCGTGATGGTGCTGAGAGAGTCTTCAAAGAGCACCAAGCCTGATGCAGCTTTGTGCTTAAGGCCCCTGTGGTAAGAACACCTGTGATAAAAACACACTTCTGCCCTACAGACGTATTGCACCCAACCCATTTCTAGGCTACTGTACATCCTGCACTGTCCCTGTCACTCTGGGAAGGTGTCATTAATGTAACTACATGAGCGTCTTACAGATTGAACTGTTCTTCTTGGCTGGCATTTTAAGTTAATTATAGGTCGGTGTTTTCTAAGGACTTCAGAAAATGCAGTCAGCAGCTTAGCCACTGGACTTATCTGCACAAGTGTACTTTGTGCCTGGAATTCAGTTATTAGCAATCTCTAGAGTCCTGTAAGGAAGAGGCACAATAAAAATAAATATTCATCCTGGGTGTGGGGTGAGGATCAACAGTCAAAATTAAAAGATCCATTGTCAAGTTGAATGTGTCTTTACCTTGAATAAGAAGTACTTTCTTACAGTAAGCCCACCCCATCCTTACAGACTAAAATTTCAGACTAAAATGTTTCCATTCTGCTTTGAGAAAACTTTAAATTTGCATGCATTACTTCTAGTTTTACATCTGACAAATGTGATATCATAGTTTGTAAGTCAAAAGTGATAAAAAGTGTTTAGATTCTTGTCACAACATAAGCTTTCAGCAGAACCAAACTAAAAATATGAGGACAGTTGGACATTAGAAAATGGAGCGCTGTAGGTGTGACTCTGGCTCTAGTTTTGTGGGATTCTGGATGATTTATCTGATACTTTTCTCAAGTCTGTGTTTTCCAATCTCTAAAGTAATATGATGATATCTATATTTTTATAAGTATATCTTCTAAAGTCTAGGAGTGGTAAGGTCTGTATATGTACTGGGGGTATATATGCCTATTACTGTCCAAACAATAGTATTAACTGCAAGTGCTTTTATTGCCTGAGTACAAAATTCCTTGTAAACAGAGCTGAAGTGGGCTCCTGAGAGTGGGACAGGGTAATGGAGCTTGTCTTTCTCTTCCTTTTTGCTTGCAAGTTAAAGTTGTGGTCATGTAGTTGGTACATTGGAGATACAGAATGGAGGTGGATCTGGCACAGCAGCCAGTCTTGAACACAAGCATCTATTCCAGTTGGCATGAAGACTCAGTGCTCATCAAGTTGAATTAAAAATCTGGAGTGCAAATTTGGCAAGCTTCAGAACAGTGTCCTAGCCCCTTGCCCAGTCATTGCACTCTGTTGGGAGACAGCAAAATATGAGATTAATCGTGATGAGATGAGGCTTTAGATGGGATGCTGGTGAGGCTCTGACTGGAACTCTTGGCTAGAATTATGGACCAGCTCCAGTTCCAGAGAGCTCTTCCAAAACAAAGACCCCAGACTTGGAGACTACCTTGCAGCAAGTCATCTTTGCTCTTTGGGCTTTATTTGTGAGATGATGTTCATCGCTGGGAGCATCTTTGTGAACTCACTACCTGCCTTGTCACAGGACTTGGTCATTGGTGACAAGGTGAACTGAGCTAGAGTTGAGGAATCCTGCCTGGCTTGTATGTGTGTTTGTGTACATATATATGTAGATATAGAGTAAGCACAGAAAGCAGAGACAGTCATCACAAGCAGTGATGCTGCTCTCTCCACTTTCTGTGACATGGCCTTGCTCTCGTATCCAGTGCAATGGTGAGCCCATCCTTCACCTTCTTCCTTTGTGTTGCCTGTGTGAGCTCTAGGCTCTGTCCATCCATCCCTGAGCCTGACTGCACTAGAGGTGACTGGGACAGAGATCCAGGCTCCTTCCCTCCTCTCTATTGCCAGGTGTAGGGGTTTGGAGCTGGCTGCATTTCTGCCCACTCTGTCTGTACCAGACAGAAGTGAGGTGAGGCCGAGGGAAGGTGGCTGGAGCCAGGCTGGACCTGGCCTCTCTTGGATCTGCTCCCCTGGCAGCAGCCAGGCCCTGGGGCCAGCTCGGTACATGGATTTACAGAGCTGTCTGACACCTCATGAGAACATCCAAGAAGGGAACTGAGATGAATCTGCCCGAGGTGTGAAGAGGGTAAGTGAAGGTGAACCTCGCTTTAGGGAGAGGTTTCTTGCAGCCATGGACAACTTGACTGGCCTAACACTGCAAGGGTTTTCCCCTTGTCTATTCTTTGATCTACTGTGGACAGGTCATTTCAGGAGACTTTTGTTTATCTTTGAACTTTCAAAAGATCATGAAAGCACTGAGCAGAACAGATAAAAAATAAAATAACATGCATTTGTTTAACGTGGTGAAGTATGTAGAACGACAGGTTACCTGGACAGCAAGGTCTCTTTCAGTTTTATTTTCATAATTATGCAGACATGGTAATTTGTAAAAGCTCAATTGCCATATATAGCCTCAAGCATCAAATTCTGCTCTCAATCCTACCAGTTTAATTAAAATATAGTTATATACTGATATGTTAAAAATGTTGCTGAAGCTGCTCGAGTGCTGCAGCAACGTGCCTGGATGTAAACAAAGAGCTGGACACATGAAGGTGTGACAAAGGGGATTGCTGGGCCAGGAGTGCTACAAATGGCTCAGCTGTAACAGTGATCTCTCGGTGGCTGGGTTGCCACATGTTTTTCCAATGTTTTGAATCCAAAGAAATCACTGAACTTTTCTCTTGCATGAGCACAGTTTCAGCTTGACTGCAGGACCATTGGCATCCCCTGGCTCTGGTCCTTCATCTTCAGCATTCTGCCCATTGTGACATAAGACACATATTTCCAAGTCATATTCCTCCTTCACAGGGGTGGGGAACTGCTTGTTGCTCTGATTTCTTGGTAACTTGGCTTCTATGTACTCAAGGATTGTGAAACAGAGGCTGGAACATGCCTTTTTCTCAGACCTCCTCTGGTTTCAGTTGTCACATCTATAAGCAGAAGAGATCATGCAACATATGCCCTCTCAAATCCTGTCAGCTGGGGAATAGTGGGATCTTTCAAGAGCAGGAATTGGTTAGTCCCAACTTTGCCACTCCACCAGCAATGCAAATGTCTGATACCCCAAGGCTATTTAGGAAGAAATCTGTCATGATAATGATTGAATATACAAAACAACATCTTATGACCAGATATTATGAAATCATCAGATTAAATACAGAAAAAATTAGCAGAAGTTGCTGGGGCAGATTCCTCCTTCACTTTCATGTGACTATCTAATCTACCCTGACCTGCGAAGTTGCTTCAAAGGATGTTAGTGTCTGAGCTCAGGGCATCAGTATTATAGCACCTCTCTGTATTTGCTAGAATGAAAACAGTAAGGAAAGCATGTACCAGAAGGAGATTGATGCTGGTAATGTAATTCACTGTTATGGCTCTTTAGAGACAGAATTCCCTGTCTCTAATTCACATGTAATGATCTTGTCTAAATTTTGAGAAGATTGAATCTAGGAAAACTTTAGGATCTAGGTAGGGGTTTTTATTATTACTTGTTCTGAGAAACAAATACCTTCTCTTCGTGGGAGCTGACTGACTTCATTGCATCTGACAAGGAAAGAGAGTACTTGACCTTCTTGGTAAGACACCTAAAGCAGAGATTATCCTTCGTTATCCTCAATATTTGTCCTATAAATTGTCCTGTGGCAGTCAGACACATGCCCTGGCTTCGGAGGTGGAGTGCCCTGGAGGCACACTTCCCTGGGGTGGCCCTGGGAGGCACTGTGAGCCTGTGCCAGCTGACTGACAGGCAGTGCGGGGTTAAAATCCTTCCTCTGCTTCCCCCTTCTTTCCAGAGATTAGTAAGCAAGTTGCTGATCTTTACCGTAAATAACCTGTTACCATCACCTGAGGTCTTGCTCCAGGTGCTGCTGCTCCGGTCAAGAACAGGGCAGGAGCCAAGTCTGCCCTTTGTTCCTGTGTGCCAATGGGGAAGAGGGATGGGTTCTGTGCACTCACCCAAGCTCCAGGTGGCATGGGTGGGGAGGGAGGCAGTGCTGGATTTCTCCAATTATCCCTTGCCTGGGTGAAGAGTCCAAGTTGCAACTGAGCAATTGCAGCCACCCCAGACAACAGCCTCCTTCCTGAAGCTCTCACAAAGTGTGATTAATTACACGATAAGCATAGAGAATGGGTTGCAAGTGAGCAATAGCTTTGTGCAGGGGTTAACTCTGCCTATGACCTTTGCATAGCCCAGTGCTGCTCATGCTCTCTCCAGCTGCCAAAGACACGTGAACTCCAAGACCTCGCTGATATTGGGGTAAGACAGGGCCTCCTGAGATCTGTAAACCTTTGGACTTGGTGTTATAATTCCCTGGAAGAGCACTGTAACTTACTTTGCTTTCTGAGGTTGTGGTGGGTTTAGAGTAGACTTGTTTTCATCTGCCACCATCAACCAACCACACTTGGTGCCCAACATGCTTGGAAGGTGGGGAACAGGCAACAAGAAGCAAATGTGTTACCACAGTCTAATGAGTTGTAATAATCAGGGTGACATCATCATATTGATATTGATAATTAAGATTATGAAAATAGGCAGATTTGTTATCTTAAAAGGTATTTTAATCACTAGAGTTAGTTCCTTTTGAGTTAGTGTTTTTCCTTATTGTAGAACTTTCCTGACAAAACATCTGTCTTCTCATACTTATGTGGCTATTATGCAAATGTCCTCTCCTAAACTATCTTGAAAGCATCCTCCCTTTTGTGTCTTGAAATCAACCCTGTCCTGATGGACCAGAAAGTCCCATTCTGCAGAGCCAAGGAACAACAGTTTTATTATAAGTTTATGTAACTTGAAATACGAACGGGCCCTAAAATTTGCAGTGTGGAAAACTTCACAACATTATAAACCACCCAGGCTTCAACACAGAGAGCAATTTATCCATGTCATATGACTCCATAGAGCCAGGAAACAATGCACATCTCTTCAGCCTTTCATGAACTTATTGGTCAATGTGATGAGTTTCTAAAGAAATAAAATATTCCATCATCACCCAGGAAGAGGTATTTTAGGCCAGATGTAAGACACAAACTTAATCAGAATGTACTGACTTCTCTCTGCAAGTAGAGTTGTCTAGTAGGGAAGGGGTTTCCTTACAGAGCAGTTCCACCTAAGTTCACCTGAAGTATGTAAAACATCAAAATTGTCCTCTTCCAAGTCCAGCTGACAGCCTGCAGTTGAAGTATAAGCTTTCAAGGGCAGAGGGAATTCCTTTATCTCTATGAAGTAATCACTATGTGCCCTGAAGCATGAGGTAATCTTACTAGGCTACTCAATTTTTATTAAGGTCCAGTGAATTAATTATACCAAATTCCACTGTTTTCTTACTGAGGAATTTATTGAACAATTTCCCCAAAGTTTGCTAAAATCTACCTTGCTCAATGGGTAATGGTAATTGTAATCAACTCCTCTCAGTTTTACCTGTCAAATTTATTTTGCAGATTGTTTCAACCTGCAAGGTTATGTCATAAAGTCCACTTCTGCAAGGCCAGCTAGAAATCACCTCAGGTTTTCATTATTGGGAATAGGAAGTATAGAAACTCTTGAAAAAATGAGAAATGCATTTTATGCTTTCAGGTACTCTGAGACTAACAGATGAGTTTGAGATCAGGATCTCATCTTTTCAAGTAGCCACAACATACAATTTAAGTGGCAATATTATTTACAGTGAATAAATAACACTCTCCAAGTATTTGCAAGATAAAAGCAGAGGCCTAAGAAAGGAGAATTCTTCTCGTAGTGCAAATAAAGTGCGAGGGATCCCAGAAGTGCGGATCTACCCGTCCTTGTCTTTCTGCTTCACACTAAACCAACACAAAGGAGAATGTGAGGGTCCTTGTGAGGCGTTCCTTAGGAGCAGAGACCACAGCCTGAGCTCTCTGTGTGAGCTAACCCGTGGGTCAAACCCCAGGACACAGGCCCTCCAGATCAGCTCGATGTGCGTGCGCTGGCAAAGCATCATGGATGCTTAGGCAACTGTTATCAGATCTCTGTTTATAAATACAAGATTTTGAATTTGGCTTGAGTGCTTAAGCTTACTAGCAGGCAGGCTTCCCCCCCAACAAAAGCACAATAACAACCAGAACGAACAATCACTGTTTCACCTCTCCCACATTAGCTATTAATAATGTTAATTTACTTCCTTTGAGAGATACCATATGGTCCCCTTCCTGATCCCTCTACAGGCATAAGAAAAAACTAAGGAAATTAGAGAGACTCCATAACACTGATGGCCACATCCAATGTCTTATCAGGCTTCCTGTTGTTGGGAGTATTGTTTTCCTTTAAAGATTAATATTTACAATGGTTACTTAGTTATCTTAGTTCATTTGATGACCATTAAAGATTCCAGCCCTGAATGCGATGAATGAACCTCCTTTTATTTGTCCTTGATGACTTATTTGTCTTGTGCCTCGTCTGGCTGAAAATCAAGGAAAATAATTATTGGGTTGGGCTTTTAATGCAATTTCATATGAGGGCTCAAAGTGCATGTTTCTGTTTGTTTTAGAGTAGGAGCCCCTACCTGCTGTTTCTGCTGATGTATGCATATTTAAGAATATATGTTTTCTGATTAGAAGCAAAGTCAAAATAGGTATTTTCACCTATTTTTTTAATCTGCATGCCTGGTTTGAGTACTCCTTGGGGGAAAAAAGAGGATGTTTCACATTTCATCCACAATGTACTGCAGTCATAAAGGCTCACCAAGGAGGTCTTTGATGGGACAGAAAAGGCAACATGTGGCCGTGCACAGGCTAAAGGAACAGTAACCCAATTCAGAATCTGTCCATAGTTTTCCCCTGTGCATCAGCTGAAGTTCAAGGGATTTCTCAGCAAGGGCTAAAGACACAGTCATTTTTCTCCTTTATTTTTTAATAAAAGCCCAAAGACAAAGCAGGAAGCAGTTGCTCAGTGTGATACAGATGGGGATCTCAGTCGAGCTGTCTGCTTCCAGAGCTAGAGGCATTTCTAGGCATGAGGGTTTTCGAAGCCACCTTGAGTTGCCTTTGTTCCTGCTAAAGAAGACTACAAAAATGTCCTTGTACTCACAGGGGTAGTAGACCCAGCCCAGTTCTCTGAACACCACCAGAGGAAAACATGGTCCATACTATGAATTGTTGAGTTCTAACTTTGTGCCATGTGCAGCATTACTGCAGGGATGAACATGGTGCATGAGCATGCCCTGTTTTCCCTCATCTTGGACTGGAGGCACACTTTGCCTTCCCTGGAAGTGGAAGCTCCCACTGGCTCATCCTCAGCTGCCCTTGAAATGGATTCATTTCCATCTTTGTGAGCAGAGCCCCTGCAAGTGCACTTCTGGTGGTAATGCCCATGCTGGCTACCTCTCCATGCATCCTTCCTACCCCAGCCCATTGGTGTTTTCTAGAGTAAAGTCCTCTGGACAACAAAGGCCAGGATTCAGCCAGGTCTGTTTAGGATGTGATAATCATTTTGCAGTGTGAACTGCCAGACCCTCACGAGCGAGCTGGTTCTCAGGCACAGTTGGTTCCTAGAGAAAGGATAATTTATAATCATGACACTTCCAAGGTCTCTCTTTTTCTCCCCCTTCCCCCTCCCAGTCCTTGCTCTCATCCCAAACGGTGAATATGGGACAGCCCATCCCAGCATCTGCAGGGGAAGGCTGCTTTTCTGGTTTTCTTGCAGAATGCTGTCTCATCCTGAAACTGCATATTTGATGCACTTTTATACTGGACTCATTTGCAAAATGACAGATGTTTCTGATATGATAAGAAATGTGGCCCAGTGGCCAGCGGCGCTGCAGAGCTGCTCATGTTGCTCACCTGAATCGCAAATGAGATAAAGCCTTCTTATCTGTTAAAAAACACGAGCAACTGCACATATAAATAACACGTCACCAAGTGCCAGCTGTTTGTGCCAATGACATTCTTTTTGAAAGAACAGCTCCCCCCGTCATCTGCTTTCCCCCTTGCAGAAATTCTGGAGCTCTTTTGCAAGCGCAGCAGAAAATACATTTTTTTTCTCTCTTTTTAAGCTGCAGTTACTTTAAAATAATTCCATATGAGCAAAAACCAGCTTTTATGACTCAGGCTTGGGCTTTTTTTTTTTTTTTTTTTGTACTTCCTTGTGCTTTTTTTGCATCTCTCTCTGAACAGAAGAAAGTATCAATGCTGTTTTCTGTCTCTTGACAAATCATTCTTGCAGATCTTGCTGGCTTTCCATTATTTCAGGGCTTCTGTTATTAATAGTATGGAAGAAAGTTACTTAGTGTTTAAAAAATTTTTTTCTGACTTTTAAAATGTGGGAGAGAATAGCAAATCACTATTCTTAAGGTTTCCAAAGTTTTTTTGATACCTTGAATTTAAATTTTAGGTAAAACCACCTCAAGAATCCCAGACATAGAAGCAAACAGACCTCCTCACTCAGTAACCTTTACTATTAATTCTTGCAGATAAGAGAACTTAAAAATCCCACCAGGTGAAGTTGTTCTGGTAATTGATCTGCTCAATGTTTTATCAGGATAAAACTAAGAAACACTTTTCAGCATTTTGCCAGCTCAGGCAGGGATGTATTTCTGTTACAAATGACCTTCTGGGAGAACTT